GATTCCCTCCACTGGACCAATGAAGGGGCACAATTCCTCCGAATGACACCAGCAATGGCACCCAATTAAACCAATGGTGGGACAGAATTCCTCCCAATGACACCACTGCTGGGGCGCCATTCCTCTCACTGACATCAGGACCATCTACTCTCAATGGCCAGTCCGGCCCTCTTAAAGTCTGAAGTACAGTAAACTGGCTCTTTGTTTAGAAAGTTTGGAGACCTCTGGTCTATGCATTGGGACTGGATCAGGCATGGCTGCCCAACACATATGTGTGAGTGGGTCATTACAAGAGTTTAACATATAACTCATGCTGCCTGTATCTCTGAATGTAGTGATCATTTTTGTGTGGTTTTCACTTGCAGGTGATCCCTGCTTATGCATGCATTATCAAATCTTATATAGAACTGTTCAATTTGATAACAGGCTTACTTTAAAGTTAAGTTTTTAGGCATCAGAGTTTACATTTGCATATAAGGACCACCCCTGTATCATAGTTTGGGTTCTGGCTTGCCAGATTAAATTGTTGGCTGTTTAGAACTGAGGATGACAGAGGATTAGGTCTGCAGGGTGTAGGTTATATGATTCTTCTGTCTGCTGTCAAACACGGATGTGAAAGACAAAGATGAATGGGTGTTTGGTGGCTTCATTGCATATAGCGGGGAAAAAAATGGCTATAGAGGGTTACAATAATGCAGGTAATGCTTAAACCTCCACTTGTGATTATTAGTCAGTTGGTTTCTTGATTATAACAATTTTGGTGGTAAATGAAGAAATATTAAACCTGAATTCCAGGTATGCATAGTTTTACTTTGTTACATTAGCCCATCTTTGACCAATATATGTGCTATCCCCATGGAACCTGGAAACTACTGTAGTAGGCACTGCTACTACTGTGATCAACACTAGCTTCCAGGTCCCTTGACGAGCAGCTGCTCTGTGGCTTAGTGAACACTGGAGAATACCACTTGGCATGGGCACCATTTAGGGAACACAGGAGAACACTTGCTAGGCATGGGTACCGGTCAGGGAACACAGAAGAACACTCCCTTTGGCATGGGAACCATTCAGGGAACACAGAACACTTGCTAGTTATGGGTACCATTTAGGGAACACAAGAGAACACTCACTTGGCATGGGCACCATTCAGGGAACACAGGAGAACACTTGCTAGGCATGGGCACCATTCAGGGAACACAGGAGAACACTTGATAGGCATGGGTACCGTTCAGGGAACACAGGAGAACACTCGCTTGGCATGGGCACTGTTCAGGGAACACAGGACAACACTCACTTGGCATGGGCACCATTCAGGGAACACAGGAGGATACTTACTAGGCATGGGTACCATTCAGGGAGCACAGAAGAACATTCACTTGGCAAGGGCACTGTTCAGGGAACACAGGACAACTCACTTGGCACGGCACTGTTAAGGAAACACAGGAGAACACTTGCTTGGCATGGGCACCATTCAGGGAACCCAGAACACTCACTAGGCATGGGTACCATTCAGGGAATACAGTAGAACACTCGTTAGGCATAGGTACCATTCAGGGAACACAGTAGGACACTTGATTGTCATGGGCATCATTCAGGCAACACTTTGCATTTTCTCAATGAATGAAAAGCATACTTTGACTGGTAGAGGTGGAGATTGTGATATCATTGGCCGCCTTCTCCACCTCATCCAATCAGAGAATGCTGTGCATTAATTGAGACAATGCAAAGTGTTTTCTGAATGGTGCCCATACATAGCAAGCAACCTCCTGTGTTCACTAAGCAGACTCAACACAGGATTTGGAAACTTGTGACAATCACTGTAGTAGGGGTGCCTACTACAATGATTTCCAGCTTCCACAGGAATCTTCTAGTTATGGCACATGCATAGTTACGTTGGACCAATGTAACTGCAAAAATATGCATACCTGGAATTCAGTTTTAAGGAGATGGCCTGACACTCTCAACACTTTCCAGTTGGAAGGTTTTTCCTAAATTGTATATAATATTTATTTTCTGGTATGAATGGGGAATTGTGAGTTGACTAAGTGTTCTGAGAAATGGGAATTGTGCCTGCCAAAGTAGCCAAATCTACTTTTTTTAAAAATGTTACTTTTTGGCATCAGATCGGAATTTACACGGTAATCAATGTGCACAGAGCTCACCATCTGAGCCTCTAGGTACAACATGACAGCAGGCTTCTCCCACCTTTCAGTTTGTAAATAAAAATAAAATCTAGTTATGAATAAACCAGCTGTTGTGAAATTTGAATTAAAATGTATTTCTTGAATTTTGCATTTCTAAAGGCTTGCTGTTATGCTGTTTGTGGTGCTTTCTTGTTTTGACTTGCATTGGCCTGCAAATGTTTTGCATGATATTGAAGCTCAAATTCACAAAAGAGGTCTTTTAGGGAAATCGGTACACATGTGCAATTCTGCAATTTTATAAATCTTTATAGTGCAGCTGTACCCAGACTATGGATATGAAAGCTGAGCTCCAGGAAAAGTACAAACCCTCCCTTGCAGTGGGGCGGCACCTGAACCACAAGGGTTATATGCTTGTTTATGTCTAATGAACATGAAAGAGCAGTTTTCCTTCCTTCCTCCCTGATCCTGTGTTTCTGCCGGTTCCTCTAAGCTGCTAGACTGGTTCCTGCATCCTTACTCCACCTGCACTGAAGTGGTCAGATGGACACTAATGTCATTAAGACTGGTGCAGGGCCCACAGCCCTGCATTTGATGTGAGGATGCCAAGGAACAGTCCACTGCTGGTGCAAGTGAGAGTGAAAGTAAAAGAGTTTTTCTCACCACCTAGACATCAAGGAGCATTTAGCACTTTATTTTAGTAATTTATCCTCAGAGATAACAAAGACTCTGAATTTTGGTTTCAGTCTGTTTCAGCTTAGACTGTCTGTTTTCTATTTTCCTTTTGAAGGCTGACAGGCTTCCAAGATTCTGCCTCCACAATGAAAGAGTAGCTGTGATTTTTAATGCCTCTGTTGGGAATTATGAAGATGAATTACTCCACAGTGACAATAGCTACAGTGGTCGCTGTTTTTAAACTGTGCTTGCTACTTATTTCGATTATACAATATAATAATTTACTGTGCATAGTCTGGGTACAGGTTTATTTAAGTGGGTAATTAGATTCAAGGTTACACTTTTCTAGAACAGCTTGAAAACTTAGTCTGCTGTTTGTTTGCTATGGGTTACCTCACATTTGTTGTGTTTACAGCGTGTTTTATTGTATTATGCTTTTGTACTACTGTACACGCCTTTCAGTTACCCATTGTGCCCAAAGGGAAATGTTTGCATTTTGCTGGCAGCCTCATTATTTGTCTGCACTTTATAAAAGAACTTTCATATAGACCACAGTAAAAGAAAACATGCATGCCAGCAGTATTTGAACATTTCCTACTGAGCTCAGTGGTACAATTAAGTGCCTGTATAGACTGGTATTTAAACTAGCCTTTTTCAATTTACCCAGTCCGGGCAAAATGGCCGGTTCTCCTGTAAGAACTACCACTCAACCACTGATACTAAATTTTGTTGCTTTCCTCCCACTGTACCATTCCATTGTGTGACAGTTGCTCTAAAACTGATGGAAGAATGGGGGCCCGGTGAGCATTAGCAGGAGGGGGGTAATTTGTTTTAGGAGAACCTGTCACTTTGCCCTGAGTCAGCAAAGCTTTTCATAAGTAGAACTCTGGACAATACTTTTTGTTTTATGTTTGAATGGCAAAAGGGTTGCACCCACATCAAGTTTTTATTGCTGTCTTTGTCTTCATTGTGGATGCTTTCACTCACTTCCTATTCTAATGAGCACTGTCATTGGAACCTAATGTTCACCAACAGCGAAAGAGACATCAATACCAGCTTTTCTCACCATTCTCCTGCATTGCTAAGTTTCAAGGTAAAATGAAAATTCTGGCTTGTATTTCACTGTAATACAGTTGTATGGTGGCCCAGCTCAAAAGTGTCACAAGCCTCTATGTTTGGTAGAAAGCGGCAGGACTTGTTGCTTTATTGGGTTTTTGAGTCTAGAACTCAAGTGTATAAATCCCCCTCAACTCCCAGCATGGCTTTGACAGGCTGAATAGGGGGTTTCACCTAAGCTACTGCTGTCAATAGCACAGGTTCATTTTCCATATATTCCTATCAAAAATTCCCTGGAGGGAAGATGAGGCAGTAATTATTTGTCATTGTCTCTCTGGATTCTTAGGGGAAATATATGGAGTGCTGGTATCTGTGAAAAGCCAAGATCACAAGGTCACAGCCACGCTGAAGTTAGGAGATATTACCCCCATGGCCAGAGAGCACTAGGGCCTATTCACACTAGCATGTTACCACCAAGCATGGCAATGCTTGTTACATGCATTGGTGTAATGTGGTGTCATTGACTCTGAATGGCACTCCAATGCACCTTGCTGACAGACGTGCATCACAGAACGGTGCATCAACACACTAATGTGGTTTGGTCTTCTGAGAGTGCGTGCACAGCTGTCATGCTGCATTGGGCAGCTCAGTCAACTGAAGACAACGCACATTAACAAGCGTTTGTGTAATGTACCACTGCAGACCAGGATTGTGTAAATGGGCCCTAATATTCAAATTCTGCAAAAACAGTTTGTTTGGAAGATTTCTCCTCACTTTATGTCTGACAGAATGGCTCCAGGAAGTGAGGGCAAGTCTCAACAACAGGGATATAGACAGCAATAATAATCTGAAGCTTTATTAAGCTTTCCTAACTTTCCTAAAATGGATTAAAGAAAAAACAGTAGAGCAACTTGATCTTGCTTTTCTCTACAGAAAACAGACAATGGGGAAGTTGCTGTTACAATAAATTGCTCTCCCTTTTTTTAATTGATATGTTATTGACTGTGTATATTATGTCTTATATCTAATATGTTCTGATTTTTGTTGTTTGGGTTTTTCTATTCCGAAATCAACACTAAATTCTCTTTTCTGACAGGTATCGTTTATTTTTCTTCCTTATCTCCATAGTAATATGCTTTGTTGTGACCAACTCCTTGATGCTGGCGTGCTGTATGCCCATCTTTCTGTTGGGCATGAGGTACTACTACAGTAGGAAAATTATCCTCAATCACCTGGAGGGTGCTCTACGTACAGACATGTCTGATATTGAGAAATATTACATGAAACAGCCAGGTGAGTATAACCCCTTCAAGGGATGTTCCCCCTGCTCAACCCCCAACATCAACCACTAAACCAGACATTTAATTCTTCCTTCAAATGAATGCTGAAAATGGCACTTTTGTACTATTATTAATTCTTTTAAAAGGTCGGTCCAGCCAAAAACAAAATGGTAATTTCAGCTGGAAGTGGAAGACGGTGAGATAAACCACCCACTAGGTTTCTTCTGGCATTAAATCTCCCGAGCATTCCTACAGCCCAGTGAGACCCACCAGCTAATACCATTAGAACTGGGAAATCAGCTATGGAATATCACTGTTGAAGTCTACAAGAGCTATAAGAAACTGATGGCTGGTTCAACCCCAAACTGAAATGTTAATTTTGGAGGACTGACCTTTTATTGGGAATCTGTAACCTCAACGCTTAACTGGATGAGAAGCCTCCAGCTAAAGCAGTCCATCCTCTGATCCCTAGGCTGTATACATTTTTGGGGGGACTAAAGCACCTGTACAGATTCACTATAGATGATGTCATCTTGGAACCAGTATGCGACCCAGGGGTTGGAGAGTGAAATAAAACTAAGGGCTTCTCAGCCAGACAAATATAAAAATAATAGATTCCCATTTACAAAGCTAAGGAATATCCATGCATGCTGCTTTGACTAGGATAGGAATACAAATCCTGCTTTTGTGGTTATGCTTTGTATATACATATCTGACTTTGAAGATGAAGCTATTGAAGATATTTCAAGGAACAGCAATGCATAGTAAAGGTAGGTGTGTGTGTGTGTGTGTGTGTGTGTATATATGTATGTGTATATATATATATATATATATATATATATATATATATATATATATTATATTTATATATTTTTTTATTTATTTTACATTGGTCTCAAGGCTGTACACACTTATTTATTTTGCCAAGTTTTTAATATCTTATATTATATATAGTATGATGTACACCCTTTTTGTAAATTCTAAAAACTTTAAGATTTACTTTGGGATTCAGTAACCTTATAAGAAGCATACACACTGTCACAAAAATATTTATGGATGGAGGTAGACTGTAATGATACAAACAGACATTGGCAAACCAAAACCATACCAGATGGACAGACATGAAAGAACATAGACATGTTCACATAAACATGTATGGGATAAAACCCCTGGTAAAATAAGGGCTAGGGCCCACTTTGACACTTGGGGGTTTATTTACTAAGACTGGAGACTTCAAAATCTGCTGCAACTCTGCATAGAAACCAATCAGCTTCCAGGATTTATTGCCAAAACTTAACCGCTTCCTGTCCACCCTATAGCAGAATTACTGCTACAGGGCGGCACAGATGTGCAAAATCACACACACACATGTATGTACACGTGGTTTTGCATTTCCGGGCAGGGGGTGCACGTGCGCCCTACCCGTTCTGCCATTCACGGATGTCAAATCACTAGCGCCCGGTGATTGCCAAGCATCTCCGACCAAACCGTTCTCTCCTCTGTCAGCTCTAGCACAGCCATACAAAGCAGTGTGCTTACAGTGAAGCACAAACACACAGCCCCACAGTAAAACAGCACACAGTTAATCCTTTGATTGCCCCCATGTTAACCCCTTCCTGCCCAGTACCATTAGTACAGTGTTAGTGCTTTTTATTAGCACTGATCACTGTATTGGTGTCACTGGGGATGTCAGTAACACCAAGTCAGTTCCCCCCAGTGTCAGAATGCCCGCCGCAGTCCCACTATAAGTCGCTGATCGCCGCCATTACTTGTAAAAATAAAATCCCAGTGTATATACTGCCATTTGTAAACACGTAAGCCAATTTACACATATTGGGATTTTTTTTTAGCAAGACATGTCGCAGCATACATTTTGGCCTAAATTTATGAAAAAACTTTTTACTGGACATGTTTAATAGCAAAAAGTCAAAAATATTGTTTTTTTTTCAAAATTGTGGGTTTTTTATTTTATAGCGCAAAAAATAAAAACCGCACAGGCGATCAAATACTACTGATAAAAATCTCTATTCATGGGAGAAAAAGGATGTAAATTTCATTTGGGTGCAGCGTTGCATGACCGCGCAATGGTCAGTTACAGTAATGCAACACCGTAACGCAAAAAATGGCCTGGTCAGGAAGAGGGTTAAATCCTCTGGAGGGCAAGTGGTTAATTGAACAAGTTGATGTTAGAAGCTGATTGGCCACCATGCAGAGCTGCACCAGATTCTGAATGCTCCTGTTTTCGTAAATCTCCCCCTATATATTGTCATTTTGAAGACTTAGTTTGAGTGGAGGGGGGCCATAATGGTCACAGCAGTTGGAATCCGACCTCTTCTTTCTTGTCAACGCAAGATCTTCTAAAGTAAAACATCACCAGCAAAATTGATTTATTGCCTGTGTGAGTATGATCCCTGAGGGAACTCTGCTGTGACAGAAATGTATCCCTGCCTTTACCTCTATGAGCTAGAAAAGCTTCTTCTGTGCCCTTCTCTGATTTTTGTTTGACTTTGTTACTGGGGCTCAGATTGTGGGTAAGCTGTACCACTGCCTTTTTTCTTTCCAATTAGACTGTCTTTTTGGCCACTAAGGACACACGAGGTGGGGGATAGAGGGTGAGGTGGGAGTTGGATCCATATCAAGGAAATCCAACCCTAATACCAACCAAAACTAGGTAAGCAATGATTAAGCGCTGAATCAGTGCAAAACGCGTTAGCTGTGTATTGCTCTATCCCCTCGTTGTGATGTTTTTAATGAAGATTTCTAATAAATGTGATTTTTTTTTTTTTTTTTTTTGGATTTGTGGCCAACCAGAATTTTTTCTTTTACATGAAGACTCCAGTGGACTGGGCCTGCACCCATTAGTGTGGAAGTGGAGGAGGAACAGGAGACCAACCTGGAGCGGTGTGCCTGCTCTCAGCAAGCAAAACTAGTTTAAAGCAGAACGTCTGCAAAAACTAACCTTCCCCCAGCAATGCAACATTTGTCAAGCTTCCTTGCCAGCACAAGCATCTTCCAGGTGTGGGGGTCTTCAACTTCCTTGATTGTCCTTCCACAGGATGGTCATAACTCTTGTGCACGTGCACAGGAGTTCACTTATCCCGGCACTGAGGCACGCTGAGAATGAACACTGTGCTGCCCATTTGCAGCTCAGTCTACATTCTAAAGAATATTCCGAACAGGCAGGTCAATTTGCTTTATTGCAGAACAGAGATACCATGCTTTTACTTTTTTTTAACATTATGCCTGCTTTAAGAAACTGCACAAATGAAGGGTTTTTTTTGGCAAATAAGATCTTGTGGCGTTTGTTCTTGTGTATTAAAGGTAACATTTTTAAAAATTTATTAACAGGTTTATTTAAAGTGGTTGTAAACCATTTGCCCAGTAAAGTGACTGGCCTCAGGTGATGCACAGAGATGCAATAAATCCTCCTATGTAGGTTGTACCTGTTTATCTGCGGTCCTCATTCCTCTACATCTGTTCAAAGTGCAGAATTTACACAGCATTTATGAGCATCTTATTGAAGGGAAGGAACACCCCACCCCCTTACCCCCCGTGTTGAAGATCCCTCACCTGTCACCTTTTTTCCTCCTGGTGTCAGGAAAAGAAATGACTCAGATACAGATAGCAGAGGAAAGAGGCAGCAGACAGAAATGACACTTAGGGGTTTATTTACTAAACTGGAGAGTGCAAAATCAGACTCCCGTCTGGATAGAAACCAATCAGCTTCTAACCTCAGCTTGTTCAACGAAGCTTTGGCAATGAAACCTGGAAGCTGATTGGTTTCTATGCAGAAGTGAGTCTGATTTTGCACTCTCCAGCTTTAGTAAATAAACCCCCAAGTGCCCTGGATTGAGACAAGTACTGTTGTGGCATGTGTATATATACTGTATGCACACACACTGTATAAAAGGAATTCCAGAGCATTATAGGTTCGCTAAAAAGACATACATTAGAGGCAGCAGGCAGCCAGCAAGCATCTAATTCATTCAGCTTGATTTTGGTAAACAAGGAGCCTCTTTTTGCACAAATGAAAGCTTAAATAGCTAACCATGTGAAAATAAGACTAGATCTCCATCTGCTGATGGGGGGGGGGGGTGAACTACACAAACTGCATACAGGATATTTTATATTTATCTGCTTAATACAAATCTTTAAACATTTTATTTTTGTTAGTCCTGACCATAAAAATGATCATTAGGTGCTGTCAAGTTGATGTTGATTCCTGGCATCTACTGGGCCTTAGATGTGCTTGCTGCATTCATTTTCTTTTCTCACATTTTATTCCTATATTTTAACCTTTAATCCTGCAATTATCTCACTGACTGACTGTCCTAAAGTGACAAAACTAGACTGAGCAGTGTGCATTGGGACTACATAACACTGTGTTAGGAGTATCACCTCCCTCTGTTCTATAACAAGAGGAGGTGTTTTGTGGTCCACACAGATAGCAGGGAACATTGCTAACTGATAACGTCTTGTACTCTCTGCCTCTGGACTGTTATCAGTTTACAAACTTTCTGGCTGAATGAACAGATATACACTCACCGGCCACTTTATTAGGTAAAAGATTTCCCAGCAACACTTACCAGCCAGCTTGCGAAACAACCAATTTGGCCCTGTCTGACAGGGACGCACTGGATGCCTGTGCTGTTATTTTGGTATAGCTGGGTGTCACGTGCATCCCTGTACCTTTAAGGAGGGATGGGCTTCTTCAGGCACACCGGCCCTTAACCAATCCATTTATACATATGTTCCTACTATGGAGGCTTTGGAAATTTTAGTTAGGTCCACAGTATACAGAGGACCCTTGATGTGGGACTGCGGCTTATGCATGTGTTTGCAAATGTGTGCAAACAAAACCCTCTGTGTTTAACGCAGGCTGTTAGACAGGGCTAAATTGGTTGTTTTGCAAGCTGGCTGGTAAATGTTGCTAGGAAATCTTTTGTTTGTTTTTGTGATGTGCATTGCCCTTCCATGTGCACCTTACTGCTAAGGCTGGCTATAGGTTGGGACGGTTGCCATTTTGTTTTTTAGTTGACTTTATTAGGTACACTTGTTCAATTGCTTGGTAA